TGAAAGAAGGCTCTGAGGCATCTACAACAAAATATGGATATTACAATGTGTAACTTCAACTTGATAGAGCAATAAAATGTACAATACTAAAACAACCAAGTGGGTGGTATTTGCAGGGGGGACATATCAGCCAAAAGTGATCCTTAAATGTGAGCTTATTCATTAATTCTTCTGTAAAACGTTCTATATTATTTAGTAAAAGCCGATAAAATATTTAGCTGCAGTTCTTGATCCAAGTGAATATACTTTTTTTTTTTACATTGTTTTGGAAAACATGCATATAATTTATTGCCTAAAGGTACAAAAGTTTTAAATGAAAATATACATCTACATTTTAGTGATGAAAACAGTTTACTCTGAAAAAATACCAAGAAAAAATCCCATGATAACAAAACTGTCATTGCAATAATGGTTTGTCTGGTGTGTCTGCAATCTGTACTGTGACCACTAGAGGTCAGCCTGAGAGCGACAAAGAGCAGAGAGAGCAGCACGGACGCAGGCAAAGGGACAAGGATCATCGTGGGAAGGACGAAGAAAGAAAACGGCAGCGACACCACTATGAGTTTGACAAGTTTATGCGCCGGAAGGATGAGACCAAATGGGGGAAAGGCTACTGCCAAGACCGAGCCAAGAAAGAGGGGCACCATCATGGATATTCTTACTGTCCTGACAGTGGAGACAAAATGGGAAAGGAGGACAGGGAGGACCTGGGTAATAGGAAGGAGCGCCTCCGAAACAAGGTGAGCGAGAAGGTGAGCATGAGACTGGCGGGAAGGTGATCATTAATTGCTTTGTCACTTCTGATGTAAACTATTTGATTGTTGAGATATGATATCATCCCAGAGAAATTGTGTTTTAGTTTAGTCTGAGTGTGGTTGTGTCATGGAAACAGCCTGTTTCAGGTAAGGCCTTACCTTGAAAATCTTTGATATACCCCTTCCAAGACTATACCTGGTGTTAAAGCAGTGGACTAGACTGTTTTATACCCCAGGTTATTGTTTAGGCAGGGCTATTTCTTACCCTCCTACACCAGATCAAACCCCCAGCAATCAGTAACACAATTTTTTAAAAGACGCAAGAAGATGTTTTTGATTTTATTTCAGATACTATTGACACTACACTTCACTACAGTACAAATGTTTATTATTTAAATGGACTTGCAAACAAATTGCGAACGTAAATGCAGACTACAATGAATCATAAGGTGACAAAATATATGTATGGTTTTGTCCAAACAAGCTGTTCCTTATTTTTTCAAGTTAGAAAATAGTGCTGCAATGTGTTACTAGTAAAATCTGCAATACAGCTTCCAAACTACTTAAGTTTTTTTGGCGTAATGATTGACAAAAATCTGACATTTAGACCTCAACTTCAACAGCTCAAATTGTTGTTTCAAAACTAACTGGATTCTAGCTAAATGTACAGCCACTTACATTTAACTATTGTTTATCTAATTGGATTATCCGTTCATTATAAAAAAGGCATGTGGAACATTTCTGGAAAATAATCTAAGCAAGAATCTTGTGTATTAACCTTTGAGAAATAATCTCACCAAACATATATTTAAACACTGATTAGAACATTGAAGTGATCCAACACATATTCAAGATATAATGCATGATCTGTCAAACTCTTGAGACTGAGGCTGGCAGGAGCAGGGCTGCAGCATCATATTGCCTTGATGTGATGAACCACTGATATTGGACTCAGGACAGGCTGATCAGATCAAAGTGAATGCAGTAGAACCAGATATGCCATCCTTTTTTTTCTCCCCCCAAATTTCCCTGTCAGACACTTGAGTCTGCGTTAACCACCATGTAATTTGATTGCTGACATTTCATGTATGTTAATACTAGTTCCAGCTAATGTAGTCTCAAACAGAGATCAGGAGCTGGCTACAGAGGTCTGTGTCACTTTGTTCCAATTCCACAGTTCACAAACTTCTTCTAGAGCCACAAAATACAGAGGAAATTGATTTTTCTCATTTGCACTAATTTTGCTTGTAATAACAATAATAGTAATAACTTTATTTGCACAGCAACTTTTGAAAACAAAGTTATAAAGTGCTTTAAAATAAAACATGACAACAATAATGTCAAATTAGACAAATAATGATAAGAAATTCAAACAAATAAATAAGATCCTGAATATGCAACATAACGAGATGAGATAGTTTAGCCAATTTTTTATTTTATTTTTTTTCAAGACCTAAAAAGCTTGCAGCTGCTCTCAAGCCGCAAATTACAGTCTGCACGAACCTCATCACATGCCGCAAATGATCAAAGCCCTGTTAAGAAGTAGTAAGGGGGCTCAGTGGTAAACGTGGTCAATTTGTCTACATGCAACTCGGTTTACAGTTGGCTTTCTCCAGTATTTCAGTTTCTGAGAGGAAGTTTATGTCTGTGATGTCAGACAAGCAGGGCGTTTTCTGTACCTGCTAGCTCAGAGCATGCTGCGCGACACTTCAGCCACGTGTTTGCGGTAAAAAGGGAACCGACAAAGGAAATGATTGAGGATGGATACATGAAATTATGCATTCAAAGCGTGCTGCTTGTCTCTCCCATGTCCCTGCTCTCTTGTCTCCCTGCAGGACCGTCCAGCCATGCAGCTGTACCAGCCAGGCGCCCGCAACAGGAAGCGAATGAGCTCAGCAGGCAAAGGTTATGACTGCATCCCCGTGGGCCACTCACCTGAACCCAGAACAGAGCACTGCTATGAGGTGGTCACCATGACAGCCGGGCTGGAGAAGGGCTTTGAGAAAAGCAAAGATGAACAGTGAGCAGTCAGCCTAAGTCGATGGCAACCAGACTAATATACCCTACTGAGGAAGTAAGGCACTTCACAAGCAGGCAGTCTTGTAGTAACTTTTCATCACTATAAGGTGTAATAAAATCCAAAGCGTTGAAAGTTTTTTTTTTTTTCTGTTTTTGTTTTTGCTGGAGCATGAAGATTTGAGTAGTACTAAAAACTGGGGCAAAAATAACAGTAATTGCCAGAATGATAGCACAACAATTAACTTAGTTTGTCCCCATTTTTAGTTACACACTTTGTTGGTTTTGATTCACAAATTGGCATTGAATTTTTAATTTATTGAAACTGCTAGCTGTTAGCAACACTTGAAGCAGTCATTCCGTCTGTTGTGTTTTTGAAGTGTGTCCCTGTAGGAGGCAACTCACTAGTCAACAGTTGGTAAAAACATGACCTCATCCTCTACAAGAGATTTTTTTAAAGCCTTTTTGTTAGAGTCTGCTGAACTTGGATGTTTTTAATGATCCTATAGATTTTATTGAAGCAGAAAATAGTTTAAGTAGAACTTACAGATGGTGGATGTAAAAAAAATAAAAATGTAAGAGATGAAATGTTGTGAGTGCGAGTGAGGAGAAGAGTAATGATTGATTATGAGGCCGGTGTTTCATGTCAACATGTTTTAATTATGTGTCTTAATACATTTGGTTTACCTTATCCTAAAGTGTCATACACAGGGGTAGGATGTTTTGTGAGCCAAGCTTTGTACATGAATACACCCATGAGCCAGGAAGAACACATTCTCTATGTTTCTATAAAGCATTTCCTAGAAACAAAATGTACAATTGCAAAGTGTGATACAAGTTGGGGGCAAGAAAAAATAATATTTTCTATGCTGTTTGCATGGTTTTATATTAATGCTGTCAACTAAACATAACTAAAAACAACAAAAAACAAAAATAATGAATACAGTCAGTTTAACAAGCCTTATATTGTTTTTGCACGTCACCCAACAGTTGTCTGTAATACCTCTTGTATTATTCTGTGTTTTTCCCCTAAAGTTGTGAGACAATAAAGCTCTTCTTCCATGAGAAGTACCTCAGCAAGTGTTTCAGTAACTGTGGAAGCTGAGTAACAGTTTGGGTGAGGCGGTGTTTGCCCACAAATGAGTCAGTTATTCAGTGCAGGACGACACAGTGGTATCTTAATGGGTGTGCCTAGCTGCTTCATGAGTGATACTGATAGGAAATTATACAAGGTTAAAACTCTACTTTTTAATTGTTGGTTGAGATCACAGTGAGACTGTCAGGCTTGTGGCATGTTGGTGCAGATGTTTGTAGTTGTTGTGCATGATGCAAAGAGTTCACTAAATGCTCTTGGTTCGATTAATCATAATAGCCATCGCAGTACGTTTGTCACACTTTCACCCAGATAAAGCAGAACTAGCACAATCAACAGGAAACCAGCAGCATGAGAACACACACACTGACATACGCTGGGTCTCGTGGACACGTTGACATCTTCATTCTCACTTCACTTTAAGAACACCCCTTTCATACAGTTGTTTGTATTTGCGCACGTGTTTATGTTTACACGTGTGCTGTGGAAGATGGGAGGCATGTACAGGTAGTGATATCACAGACCTCTTTCCGGTTAAGAAATGATTTATAACCTTCATTCTTTGTGCTCTAATTCAGTTTCGGTTGCGTATGAATGGTTTACGTTTACCTACATGATGTCCCAGATATGCCTTTGCGACAAATCTCTTGCTCATTTTCCAGTTTCACTCACATTTATGATGCGACTGCTAACAATAAAAGTGAAACTAGTACCCTATGACACTTTGGGAACTCCCAAAACTGTCTTTCAATTGCAGAGATTTGAGGCTTTTTTAAATTTACATTTCTATTCTAGTTACAAAAAGCTTTTTGTAGCACTCAATCACACAATGTGGCCATTTTTTTAACATATACGTAGTTGTAGATATTGTAGACAGCTTTTTATTGTAGAGATAATTCATGAGCCACCCACAGAGGAAAGAGAAAACCATACAGGTGATGGTGAGTAATTGTGTATGATCTCCCTGGTGTCAGCATGTGGGGAACGTGGACGCTTAGACTTGAGTCTTTCGACTCATTTCCAAGACTGAATCTAACAGAAGGCCGTTAAAGCAGTTGGTAGGATGAAGATTGTCACATGGTTCATTTCCTCCCTCTCTCTTTCTGAGACTGTAACAAGCTCAAACCTCATTTCCTTCTTCACAATATCTGTACCTCCATCTACAACTGACAATCACATGCCTGCCAGCCTCTAGCCTTGTCTACCTCTGTGTTCACAAAGGTGAGTTCTCAACTGACTTTTCTTAAAGTTTAGGTCTTTATGGTGATTATTGTGTTTTCCCAGTGTTGGAATTTCCCTTGAAATGGGTTTAAACTGCTCCACGTGTCATCTGTTTAACACTGTATTGTTAAGTATTATTTTCTTGGATAGATGCGTGCTTTATCAACATTTGCTGCTTTGCTAGGTGACTTAATACCACAAGTAAAATGAAAGACTTGCCATGATTTGCCCATTAGATGTTGGCAACAGACAATAGTTGTTTTTTTTTTTTGCTTTTTTGTTTTTTTTAAACACATAAACACAAACACAGTGCCAGAAGAACTACACACCTGCCTTAGATCAAAGTTGAGTAAGCATGCATTATGTAAAAAAAAAAAAAAAAAAGCTTTTTATTATTTTTAAATTATTGTATAATTTTCTATGCTTTCAAAAAGTTTTGTCCCTCAACAGTAATGCAACAAAAAATGTCAGGTAACAAAAGGGGGGAAATAAATAAAAATAACAAGCTACTTACACTTTTTAGAAGAAAGAAACGTAACTCTGTACTATGACTGTCACTGTTGCAGTAATAGTGTCTTTTCCATTGTGTAACCTGAAAGGACGATTACAAAGATTCAAGGACTGTCTGGTGTGAGGTAACGCCATCCACCAAAACCTCATACTCACCACATACGAAGGAGAAAGTGTTTGTGCTCCTGTGCTGAACTGTTAACCATCTTCTGGCAGGACAAAGATGAAATTCAGTGTTGTTTCACTTCCTATTATTCAGATGGTCTTCAGTTGCAGTTTTGAATTTTCTAACACACTTTTACCTGTTTACACTCTATGTGAGCCAACAAGAATGGCAGTTGCCACTTCACCACAAATCAAGCGTGTCCTTTTCCTGTGTGAAAACTCCACCCGACACATGTGCTGTTCGCACGCAAGCAACAATACAGTGTGATAGATGTCCTGATATGATGCTAGTGTCTGCTTCACACCTTGTGATCACTGAGTTTTGCACATGCAGTAAAAGTAAAGATTGCATGCATCACCTTCGTCAGGGATCTAGGTTTTTTTTTTATGTCTTGTGGTTTGTGATACCTGATGTTTTTTTTTTTTGCTTTTTCATGGAAATACTACAGAAGGAACTAACAAAAACGTGTGAACTGAGATTTAAAGAATATTTCTACTTTCCCACGAGTATCTTATGCAAAAATTAAACTGTCTTCCATAACCCTTTTTGTTAAATCCTGGATTACAGGTGATGAGAGGCCATTCCTACGCAAACATGACAAGGAATTCTAGCAGCATCAAGCTAGACAACGCCACACTGGCCCTTTTCCAGGATGTAAACACCAGCATTGCCATCTCTGTGATCTACATGCTCGTCACTGCCATTAACCTGATTGGCAACGGCCTGTCCATGTGGCTCCTCGTCTTTCGTACCTCCCCCAAGACCCCTTCCATCATCTTCATGATTAATCTTACCCTCACTGACTTGGCTCTTGGGACTGCCCTGCCCTTTCAGATCTCCTACCAGCTCCAGGGATATAACTGGAAACTGGGGCCAAGCATGTGCAGGTATTCTTGATGATTGCAGGATGATGTTGAATTATGGATTCAGGATAAGCAGGAGGAAATACAGGCTATCCATTTGTAACAAAATATGCCTCTTAAACTCACTGTAAACATGTCATATTTATTTATTCTGCTAAGAAATTTGAGTGAGTGACTTTTTTTTTCACCAGTGATTTTGATGATTTTGTTTCCACTGCTTGCCTGGAAGCTTCATGGTGACAGCAGTAGTTTGGCACATTTTCCTCCTATGAAATCATAAGTGGTCATTTTCACATTTCCATTCAAAATAAGATAAGCTGTTTTCACCTGTTTCCAGTCTTTGTGTTAAGTTACCTGGCCTCCCATCGCAGCCTCATACTATATGGACACATCAGAGTCGAATCATCTTCTCATCTCTCTCTAGTTATCAAACTTTCACTGTAATGTTTACTTTGCTTTAACCGTTAATTAAATTAAACTCTCTTCCACTGTGTATCCACTTACAGTCTCCTGACCCTGGTTTTCTACACCAATATGTACTGCTCCATCCTTACAATGATGGCCATCAGTATTGACCGCTACCTGGGCATCGTCAGGCCGATGATGTTCAGAGAGACCAGAGGGAGGAAGTCTATCGCTGTCATCGGCTGCCTACTGATGTGGGGTTTGGTCCTGGCTGTTCTGTACCCACTGATGACCACAGACCTGACCTTTGATGTTCCTGAACTCGAGATTACCACATGCTTTGACATGCTGAAGGCTAATATGCTTCCATCCACTTCAGCCTGGGCGGCCTTCCTCTTCAGTATGGTGTTTTTCCTCTTCCTCGTCCCCTTCTGTGTCACAACATTCTGCTACGTCAGAGTCATACGCAAACTGGCCAGGGATTCCAAGACAGCCCAGAAATCTAGAGCAATACGACTGGCCTTCATTGTCCTCCTGGTCTTCACGGTCTGCTTTGCCCCCAACAACATCCTCCTGTTTGCTCACTCTGTGCTGAGACTCTTCTATAAGAAGTCTCTCTACATGGCCTACAAACTGTCTCTCTGTTTCAGCTGCCTGAATAGCTGTCTCGATCCGTTCATTTATTACTTTGCTTCCAAGGATTTCAGACAAAAGGTGAGAGCGATAATGAATCTGCATAGCCTGAGTAGCGCAGACTCAATGAAGCTGGAGCATAAAGAGAGTTTGTACTCTGCACACTGAGCTTTCGAAGGTCAGGACAGAGAACACAGCAACATCTTTGATTCTAAAGCGACCACATAAAGAGAGTGAGAAGGGGAGACAGTGAGAAAAGACTTGAGAAAGGAAGTGTGGAGGAGAAAGTGTTTGTTAAGAGTTGACTAAAATGTGTCAACGTCTTGCAACATCACTTATTGTGTCCAATTTTAAAATCATTTTACATCAGATTTTTTTTTACAACTGTATATGGACAGCAGCTATGTCTCTTTTTTAGTTATTCTTGTACAATGTGGCCTTTTAATGAATGAGAAAAAAAACAACAACATTTAATCCCAGTATATTTTAATGTCTTCGACAAGTCTCTTTTTTTTCATTTCTACTTTTTTTTTGCAAAATATATAGCATTCACAAATGTAAATAAACTGTTAAAAAAGTGTGAACATATTTTAACATTTTTGAAATGATCTGTGTACATACAGTCATCCTCATATTAATTCACACCCTTCCATTAAAGAAAAGGCACAATTCACAATAGTCACTCAAATAACTAAAACCTAAAAAAAAAAAAAAGTAATAATAAATAAAAAATTGGCTAAATTAAAATTTAGTGAAATAAGATATTGCTTTTGAATTGTGGTCTAAAAGAACAATTAGAAAAAATAAGTAAATTAAAAATAAAAAATAAAAAAACTGTCCCGGACAAATTAGAGCACTTTGAGGATGAGCAGTGGGACAAAATCTAAATACCTGTCAACAGGGGCAGAAGTCTGATTGAGAGTTACAGAAAACACTTGATTGCAGTGATTGCCTTGTTTGCTTGTTTGTTTGTTTGTTTATATATATATATATATATATATATATATCTGTTGAACCACAATTCAAAGGCAATGTCATGAGTTTCATTAAATTGTCATTAATTATTACTTTTGTCATTTTCAACTTATTTCAGTGACAGCTGTTTTTTTCCTAGGGTATGAATACATTTGAGAACGACTGTATATCTGTAAAAATGTCTGTACTGTTATTATGAATATATTTGTCATTACCTCTTTCACTTGTTCTTATTTTCATTGTCACAATTTTCCTGTATTGCAAAAATAAATCCATCATTATTGTCATTAATAGTGGCAGTGTGAACAATAATAGAACAAAACAAGTGTTCTACTTTGGACCCGCCTACTTTTTAGACGTCATCACGTAAGCGCCGTCACGCCGGTCGTCCTCGCAGGCAGCAAGCGCTGTCAGTTTCCAGACTTGTGCAGGTAAGAGATGAAGCTACTGATTTTCTAACTATTGTAACACAATGAAACATCTTTAAAACTTACTTGTATTTGCTAAACCGTCTTCCTTTTTGGGATGAACTCGCAAACAAAACGTTACTGTGACGGTTCGTGCACTTGCAGTTGTAGGAAATACAATGAACAGGACAAGTTAGCTGCTATGAGCTGCTGTTGCTAGCACTGAGTTAACAAGCAGGACTGCACAGTTGTAAGTTATCTGCGTTGAATTTTGTGTCATATTCCTATATGTTTAAACCATTCGTGTTGTGTAACGTTATGTGGCTATCTATGGCTACGTTCACAGGTGTTATTGTGTCTTTTTGTTATTGTCTTTAAGTGTTAAGTTGCTTACCAATGGCATTAAAATATGTGGACTTTCTCTGCAGTACTCACGGCAACTCATTGTCTTCTTTGAATGCATTATTATGTCTGTATGAAAAGTGCTGACTTTGGGCTGCAACTATAGATTTTTATGGCTACAGATTAATTTAGTCCATAAAATGTTATTTTAAAATCCCAGACCCCAAAATGGCACCTTAAATCTAGTTGTTGAGTTCAAATTCTACAGATGTTTAATGATATAAATCATAGACAAGCTGCAAATTTAAAAGATCTAGAAACAGGGAATGTTAGCAGTTTTCCTTGATTAAAGACATTTCCTTGATTGATTATCAGAGCTGATGTTATGTGGATCATTTAGGTGATTATTAGTGTCAGCACTATATTGACCTGTCCACTATGAACATCTGCACCCACCTGATTCCTTTCTGCTGACATAAATGAGGCCACATCTGTAATGTTTAACTCTGTTCACTTTGTCAGACGAGAAGGCCACCATGGTGCTGAACCCAGTCATCTCCAAGCTTGCTGGCAAACTGGTTGTGCTGGCCAGTGCTTCTCCCAGAAGATTGGAGATTCTCCGCAATGTGGTACGTGTTGTCCTTATCAAGGTGATAGAATATAAGTTGATTGTAAACACATACAGTTGCAAAGATTTATGTATGAGTTGGTTTAAAACATTTTCACTCTTTTCTTGCCCATGACTCTAAGTGTGAAATCAGTAGTAGGTGTGGTATCAGTTTCATAAAGCAATAACTATATAAGGTGATTTCAGATCACTTCAGCTCAGTTCAGGATTTTGTATTTATTTATTTTTTGTCCTAAGTGAGTTATTGGGCTTGCAATTCTGAAAAAAAAAATAAGATGCATAATAAGAAACTCTTTATTTTGGTCACATGAAATAATAAAAGCATGTTTGCAAAGGTATGGAAAAGGGAATGAGATGTGGTAAGAGAGTTTCTGTGGGTCCAGACTTATGTATTTATTTTGTACAGGTACATGAAGCTAGGTCAAAGTGTATTTACATGATTATACATTTGGATATGCACATTGACTTAGATGTTTGCATGTATACAGAGGGCTATAGGTGTAAGGACACAAAACATATACAAATCAGATTTAGGCACAGCAAGAAATCAAATGTACACTGAGAAAATCAAGAAACACGAACAAACAAAAGCATAAAACATTAGAAGAGTGAGCTGTTTAGCTGTAGTGCTGGTAGCTACGTGGAATTCAAAGTAATGACGAGGTTCAAGTTAAGTCTCTCTATTGCTCATGGTAGGAAAGACTCTATTGCACATAGTCTATACTTTCACCTTAAAGAGAGTACCTCACACTCTTAATGTATTCAAAGAATTGTTGATTATTTTTAAAAGATCAGTGGCAACACAAAAGTTAAGAAACCCCAGGCTCAATGAATGATTAATGCACTGGCATGTGTGATAACAGCGATATCAGACTTGGTGAGAGTAATGGTGGCAGTTTCATTTTTGGTTTGTGGTCTTCTACATATCAGGGTTTGCGCTTTGAGGTTGTTCCATCCTGGTTTAAAGAAACCCTCGATAAGAGCCTTTTTAAAGCACCTCATGAGTATGCTGTTGAGACAGCCAAGCAGAAGGCCCTGGAGGTGGCCAGGAGGATGCCCATTGTGAGTTCAGCTACTTTTTATATAACCCACAGTATAAATTGACTAGAAAAGTGACATTAACAAACATATCGTGTCTTTATTTGTGTTAGAAACACCTGAAGACTCCAGACATAGTAATTGGAGCAGACACAATTGTGGTAAGATTAAGAGAGCATTGCAGTCTTTGCTTGCTGCCTGCAGTGTATGCTTTATGTGGTGTTGTTTTTTTTATTATTCACTCACTTTTTTTTATGTCCATAGACTGTGGATGGCATGATTCTAGAAAAGCCAGTGGACAAACATGATGCTTACAGGATGCTGTCAAGGTCAGTATTGTTTACATGGCTTCAAAATTAACATTTGAAACAAAGAAACAGATAGGATCTTGTTTACTTTCTCTCCTCTGTCATTGTTTTTCTCTTCCAGCTTGAGTGGTAAAGAGCACAGTGTCTACACTGGTGTAGCTATTGTCCTCTGCCACGAGAAAGAAAGTAAGTCATAACTCAGTAACATGCAGACTTTCTGTAAAAAAAAAAAAAAGAAGTCCATATCAGAACATTGAAGCTTCTCTTAGGTAATTCATTTTTTTTATGCGAAGAAATGCACAGTGTTGTACAATTTTAAGCCATTTGCAAAGATATATCTATATATATCGTGTTTTTGTGGGCCAAATGCAGTTTTTCCATCAGTAGATATATTTCACTTCTAAACTTTCCTGCTCCCCAGATGAAGAAGTGGATTATCAGTTGATAGAGTTCTACGAAGAAACAAAGGTGAAATTTGCTGATCTCTCAGAGGACATGCTGTGGGAGTACATCAATAGTGGTGAACCCATGTAAGTGTGAACATTTGAACTTTCACATATGTAAAAGCTATTGATTACTCTTGCTGAGCATTCGATCAATGGAGGTCATTTAACTGGTTGAGAGCTTCATGAACTTGTTGCTTTTTGGACTTTGATGCCTGAGTTTTGTTCTGGCTGTGTTTGCCTTGTCCGATATGACATGTCAGCGCAGACAAAAAAATTCAACTGGAGTCAGCAAGTGTGTATTTGAAGAATTACATGTGTAGTAAGTGTTGTATTCAGTCCACATGCTGCTGTATAAATGACATTTTTCTGTCTGTGTGTGTCAGGGACAAGGCAGGCGGCTATGGTATTCAGGCTCTGGGTGGCATGCTGGTGGAGTACGTCCACGGAGACTTCCTCAATGTTGTGGGTTTCCCCCTCAACCACTTCTGCAAACAGCTAAGCCTTATTTACAACCACTGTACTCCCTCTTCAGACAAGGAAAGTGACTCGGCCCATCTGAGTCTCAACGGCACTCATGCTCCTTCAGTACTTGTACATGGTTCCTCTTCCGTTCCCAGACCCAGCAGCCCCTCTGCCAGTCAAACAAACCAAACCTATAGCAGCCCGTCAGCCAGTCCAGTCCATAAGGTTTGTTCTTCTCACTGTTTGAGCAAAATCTTTTACCTGTTTGCTATTTTTATTCAAAACAATCTTCTCTTGTAGGTGAAAAGGAAAGGTAGTAAGAGTAGTCAGAGTTCTGGGGCACTGGTCAACAGTTTGTCTAAACATACAGATGGCAATGAGGCCAAGCTCCAGGACTCTGATAACACACCGTTGCCACTGATAACAAACAGTGGGCAGCTGATTGACCGCAGTGTGACAGAAAATGAAGACAGTCAACCTAAAAAAGAAGACTTGGAGCGAATCAGTGAACTGTTGGATGGATTCAAGGCCTCAAAGGTAATTTGTGTCTGTGTATTTAGGCTCTATGTGATGACTTTTTACCATCAAATTTTAACTCTTAAGGTCCGTTAGCTGACGAGTTGACTTCTGTAAGATGTAATGTAATCAAACATGTAGCTCAGCTTAAAAGAGCCTTTCATCTTTGGGAAATGCACTCACTCTCGCCTGATTTACCGTATATCAACCACCTCACCCACAGTTATATCAATCACCACTACTAAAATTATCACAATGCATATCCTGTTTTACCGTTCTAGAATGAGTGTAAAACCAACCATCACAAGGGATTACGTGCTGCACTGTTTCTTGCTCAGTTGCAGTCTGTGCTATTTTGTGGCACTGGGAGACCACAAGACTTCTGATGATTAAACAGTTGAGACAAACAGCTACGTGCAGACGTTTGAACAGATTACACAGTTGAGCAGAAGTAAATACAACCCATGTGGCAAAAAGATTGATGTTTGCTTGAATCCATTCTTTTAGCTGTCTTTATAGTGTTTCTTGTGCCCGACACATCACCAAGAATACATTTACACACCCATGCTTAACACCCATGCAAGTTCTTCTTTTGATCAAGTGATGCTCCTGTTTATGTCCAGATAAACTTTTGCCATCAAAGAACTCAGTTTGAATTTTATCTTGTTTCCAATGTGTCTCTAGTTAATCCAGATTTTGCTTTGCTTACGACACTGGTCTTTGTGATGAATTGTCAGATAAGGTTTTTATGATGAGTTTTCCATGTAGATCCTTTTTGTACAAGCTGCCCTGCAGAGTAGGATGGTGCCCCACCACTCCTGTGTCAACTGAACCTTCCTGCAGCATTTTGGCATTCTTAGAGGAGCTTTTGCTTTGCCTTTCTGCTCAGCAGACATGCAGTGCTTTATGAAAGCTTTCTTTCTGATCTTGTCTTGACTTTAACAGTTCCTTTCAACTGCCCTTTCACAAAGATGTTTTCGTGCTGTAGAAATCATCAACTTACAAGTCCGAATGAGTCAATTAAGGCTTAATGAGTTCTTTAAATTCTAAGAGTTGACAAGCACTTTTGCTCATGAAACAATTACAGTTAAATTATTTTTTTAAGCTCATATAGTAAAAGTAAAATTGTTGTGAAATCAGAAGAAATACTAATTTCTAAAGTCTGTTTGCTGACATTGGATGAGAGGTGGTATACATCCTTGGGTGACACATATAAACATGCAGCCACTTATGCCCACATTCACATCTGCGTGGCTCATTTAGAGTCTGCAGCTCATGGTTGTGGACCGTGGAACGAAACTAGAGCACCACCAAAAAGACCATGCAATCATGCAAACTCCAGTGCAAAGCTTAAGAGCTGCTTGCTCAAATATGAACAAGCCACTCTGAAGCTCGTGCAATCATGCAAAGTCCAGTGCACAGCTTAAGAGGTGATTGTTTATATTTGAGAGAGAGATTTGTATTGATCTTCTCGTCTAACTCTTCAAGGCAAAAAGTGAATCATTCCATTTCTCAAAATGTTGAACTATTTCTTTTAGTATCTTAACCAGCCTATTCAGACCTGTAATATATTGGATAATGCCCCGGTATGTATCCGCAGTGAAACACAGGAAATGTTGCACTCTTTTGAGACCAGAAACTAAACCGTGTTGTCACTCTGCATGTGTATCTTGATCAGTCACAAGAACCAGACAAAATATTTTACTTTTCATTGTCTATTATCACAAATCGCACTTTGCTTCTGCGTACTTTCTGCCTTTCCCAACATGTTCCAGGCACTTTTTACGGCATCCAAGTTGTGTGTGTTCGACCTGCTGCACCGCATGCCTGGGCTGGATGCAGCGCAGGTGGCCCAGGAGATCAAAGCCTCTGTGAAGGGGACTGAGTGTCTGCTGGAAGCCTGTGTGTCTCTGGGACTGTTGAAGTGCAAAGAGAGAAGTTAGTCAGCACTCAGCTTTGCTAATAAATCACTTTTTTTTTATACCATCTAGAGCAGGCGTACAACCCTCACGTGTTTCTTTATCACTATCACCAGCGTACGAGAATTCAGATCTGGCCACACGCCTTTTGCGGGCAGATGCTTGTTTTTCCCTGCATGGATACATCCAGCACTGTAATGAAACACTGTGGCCTCTTTTCTCCCACCTCGAGAGTGCTGTGCAGGAGGGACACAGTCAGCGTGAAAGGGCCTTCAGCAACAGAACCAAGGATATGCTTCAGGTGATAATTTTCAAGTTCAGTATCAAATTTATACAGTGTGCATAAAATGATATTAAGACTGTGTTACCAATCTATATATCATTTGCCTCTATTTAAAGGGTGCTTTCCACAACAGTCCAGAAGCCAAACTGAGATTCATGAATGCAATGCACAGCGTTGCTAAAGTCGCAGGAAAAACCATAGCAACAGCTTTTGACCTCTCCAGGTTTAAAACAGCCTGTGACCTCGGAGGTAAGAAAATAATGCAAAAATCATTTGTTGTTTTTCTAAAAAATAAAACTTTGGATTTTTCAACTCATCTTTTTGTGTTTCTAGGATGTACTGGTGCCATGGCCTGTGAGTTTACCAAAGCCCATCCTGGAATGTCTGTGACAGTGTTCGACTTGCCTGCTGTTGTTGAGCTGAAAGAACATTTCCAGCCGTTGCACACAGACAGCAGGGTATCATTTGTAGCAGGTCAGTTGTCAATGCTTAGCGATGCTAAAAAATACTAGTATGACCGTTATGTTTAATGGTTAAAAGTTTAATGATGATTGTACTTAGCTTATTGTTATATACACTCACTCTGTGACAAAAATGGTGGCTTTTTCATTGCTGTATGAACAGGTGACTTTTTTCAAGATGAACTGCCCAAAGCGGACTTGTACATCCTAGCGAGAATTCTTCATGACTTGCCAGATGAGAAACTGCACATTCTGTTGAGTAAGATCGTGGAAGCAAGCAAACCAGGTAAAAGCTTCAAGCTGCAGTAGTCTTTCCATCTTTTTACTTCTGTAATTTTCAGACTATTGAGCACACCTGAATATAAGCTGCACCCGCAAACTTTAAAAAGAAAAAAAAAAAGACATCTATAAGCCACAGGTGTCCACTTTGTAACATATTTACACAGAAAGATGTTACACAGAAAGGTTTTTCTTTTTTTAATGCACAAATACGTCCCGTAAATGTTTTTTTTCCAAACAGTGCCTGTAACACAACTGGTTAAAAAAATAAATACATACAGTAGCCTACCAGGAAAAGTCATTGATCGCTATCTTCATCTTCCTCCTGCGCGCTAAAACCACAAAAGTCGTCTTCTTCAGTGTTGGAATTGAACAGCCTCAGAATTAATTCGTCACACATTTCCTCTGTCTCTCTGTGGTCGCTCTCAATGTCACTTTTCGTCTCGAGGCAAATTCATAGAAATCCTTAAATTAGCTGCATCTTTCTTTAAGCTGCGGTGTTCAAAGCGTGTGAAAAAAGTAGCGGCTTATAGTCCGGAAATTACGGTGTATATTTTGACAGAACATTGAATGCTAACATAATTATGCAAAACATTACATAAACGTACATTATTTATATCTACTGAGTATGATGTTATCAATTGTTTGCCAGTTAAGGTTTTTTGTCTGCTTACTTTTATGTCGTGACAAAAATGGGTAAAATCAACAGCAGCTTAGTTTGGTTTAATTGAAAACTTGCAGACCCTTAGGCCTCAATGAGACTAGACTGAGAACCACTGCTGTCAGTTATGTCAGTCTTCAACTCATTTAGGCCCCGAAAAAGATTTAGCTGTTGCAAAATGTAAAACAGCGCCTCGCGCAAACTTGGCAAGTTCAAAGTCAAGCCAAAATGCCAAGTTCATTATGCAACGCTTTATTCTTTGCCTGAAGTGATATGATGCAAGGAGATAAGGGGGCACAGAACTGCCGCCGTTCTCTAAAGTTGTGTGTCTGCATGTACATCACACTGTCAGGCTGCGGACTCCTGCTAAGCGAGATCTTTCTGGACGAAGACAGAGGCGGCCCGAGTCGTGGGCTGCTGCAGGCCCTCAGCATGAGCGAGGGGAAACAGAGGAGCGCGACAGAATACAGTCGGCTTTTGAAGAGCCACGGTTTCATCACAAAGCAGATCAGACACACAGACAACCTCCTGGATGCCATGCTCTGCATCAAAGCGTGACTGACACCTTTACAACACTACATGGAGGATCTTGTGACATACAGTATGCTGTATATTGTAGGTAACAAAAATCAACGACTATGATCAGAAATGTTTTTATGTGTAATTTTGTAAAAAGAAAAAAGATACCTGTGAAGTAATGAAATACACCTTTATTTCATAATTTACTTTAATAAATAAAAAGGAATTTTTCGTTGAACAATCTCATGTGTTGGGCCTTACACTGTGTAGTGCATAGTAAAGTTCATGGTAAACAGGACAGCTGCTCTGCTCTGCTCTGCTCTGCGGGCTCTGATAATGACAACCGCGAGCAAGTATGCAGACTTGCAGAGCAAACATGAGGTCTGGGCATCAAATACTTCAATAATCCTTTCACATCCATGGAAATACAGCATCTGGGTCATCATAAATCTTAAATGGTTTTTAATCTTTTTTTTATAATAATAAAAGGTCCTTGTTGAGTTTCATTTGTTTGATCAATGGTGGAAGAAATATACATATCTGTTGCATAAGTGAATGTAGTAATAAAACATGAAAATGTCAGTTATAAGCACAAGTACTGCCTTCAACATTATATCTAAAAGTATCAATATAAATTGCACCTTTCAGAATATTAGAAAATAGTAATAATGAATTGGTTTCATACAGGGCACTGTAATAAAAATAACTCTTAAATATTACAGTATTTTTGTTGTGTGGTCCAACAGCAGAAGTAAAAATATTAACAAAATTGATCCGTCACTCTTTAGTGATAATGCATATTTACAGTTTGTGGAATCCTTTCATCTCCTGCAGCAATTATGTCACGTTGTATGCCACTGTGTGCAGCAGATTAATAGTGGAATGATGGAAAATGTGCCTCACATGCTTTGTTTTTGTTTGAAGCTGCTACATCTCCAGTTCAATCACACTGACAAAAATCTAACAAGTTTTGTCAGTAAGCCACCTAAACATTAGTAGCATCTTGTTTGTGGTGCAGCAACTGACTCTGTACCTTTGCATGCTGTGATACTTGCAGATAATATGAGCTTTCCTTCTGCAGACAGCCCTTTTTTATTTGAAATGCACCTCGCCCTTATCAACTTAAGGTCCAGCATGCAAACAGATCAGATCTGACAAGCAGCACAAGGACATCCTGAAACAATAAGCCAATGCTTATGATATGGAAATTGTGCCCATTTTATCTACATTCCTTCCACTCTCCAGCACTCTGCTTTACTTAAGGAAGTACTCTTAGGGAGAGCGGGTAAGCACGCAAAGTCTAGACAAGTTTTCTTGTGACTTGCCTTTTGATGGCACGCTCACTGGATTTCAATGTTGACAGTGCAGCATCCATTCAGGTCAAATGTCACAAGAGGCTCGTGCCAGTCTGGAGCTTGTTGTTTCTTAAAGAGGAAAGTCATCAACAGCGCTGCCTGAATAGAAAATCATTTAGTTTCACACCTTAACATTAAGCTAATCATGTAACTGTCACCACTCAAAAGATTTGTTTTGTGAACAGTCAACATAACGCAGTGATAATGTATTCCAAACCAAGCTGTCTGGGACTGTTTGGTGTGTGGCTTCGTCATTCTAAAAACACTTAATGCTGTGGTCAGCTGGATGATGGCTGTGGCTGGAGCGTGTGCATCCAGCCTCCCACTGTCATGGTGATGCAATGTCGATGCAATGGAGGGAGGATGATTAAAGGAGAAATAATAACATCTAAGTAGTGTTATCATCTAAGTAGGATGTCATTTTTGACCGCTGATGTGTTGTGTTTCCCCAGCGGACATGACTTCATGTTGACTTTGACTTTATAAAGAGGCTGGAGGACGACTGCCAGTGATGAGGGAGGCAGAGCTTTCTCAACAGGCGCCTTGTCAAATCCATGGGTGGAGCTTTTTTTTTTCCTTGTATGACGGTTCCAGCACATTAATTCTAAGCTGACCCTAATTCTCCTTCCCTGACAAACAACCTTTGACTAAGTGTAATTTAAATATTAATCTATTCCTGCTTTCCAAAAACCATTTTGGAGTTCAGACCACACCAACCAACAATCAAATACACTTTTAAAAAAAAAAAGAATGATGACACATTGTATCCTCTGACATTAATCTCTAAAAAGACCATTAAGTGAAGTTCTGCAAATGTAGCTCATGTATTTTGCAGCTGAAAAAAATCTGCATTTTATTTTCTTGCTATGTCAGCAAACCTCCTCAAGATGGCATCAAAAACCTGCACATCTCTCCCAGAGACGCTGTTTTTCTAAACTCTCTAATTCTTTCCAGCAGCATCTCGATATGTGCTATAGAGATCAACCGTATATTAAACGACAGCAAATCAGAATTAAGGTTGCCAGGTGGGAAATGAATATGCGCTTTATGCATTTGGTTGGGTAGTATTTTAATGCTTAGAAGCATATGACACCATCCCTTAATTCCTTACAGATACACCTCTTGGATTTCAGTTTTGAGGCAACGGTTAAGGCGGCCAAACAGCTGAGGGGAATGTGGGAAGATCTCTGGCCATGATAAATAGCTCTTATTCTTTGTGACACAGAAAGTGTATCTGGATTACTCTTCATTTTGGATCCCACTCTAAGTATTTTCCTAGGAGGGTAATAAGGGTGGTCATGTTATTCATGGCTATTTTCTTGTCAGTCTGGGCTCAAGCTCTTTGTGACATCTAACTGATTTCCATTACTCAGATTTGGTTCTTTGGATGGGGAAAGACAGAGGGAGGGTGGACCGAAGTTCAAATATGACACAGAGCGTAAATCACATGGCGTTTGTTTTATTGCGAATGCCCTCTAAACGCATCAGAACACCAGATTCTTGCAATACTTTCCTGCCCTATTAATACTGAAAGCCTGTATTGATTCAATAAATACAGAGCTTATATTGCTTTCGCCCATGAGATCCTTCTAAAGACAACTAAGTGACACCAAATGGTGGTGTAGTAGGAGAACGTCAGGCCTGTGAAATACAGATGGGCACCACAAATCAAAGAGCCTAGTCTGTGTTCCCCCCTTTAAAAAACATGATGAAGCATTTCCATGGAAGGATTTGCATATCCGTCCACTTTCAGTGTCCCAGCTGCACCCGCTCACCCTCAAAATGCCTCAACTTGTGTGTACCAGCATCAACAGCAAAGACTCTGCTGGGCTTTCTAATGAAAACCATTCAAGTCAATCAAGTTTACCAGAGACCAAAGGCCAGTGTAATTTGGGAAAATTGCTGAAACTCCAAAGTAATCTTCTGTAATGTGATCTTGCCTATTGAACACTGGCTGTACTGTACGTGTCGGATAAGAGCTCAGTCATTTTCTTCAAATGTAGTCTTGACAAGCAGCATGGATATCCACCTGCAAGTAATCATCATTCTAGTGTTAAGTGCTTTGATATTAAAATGACTGATTTAAGCTGCTAGTAGATAGCGATCTGAAAACACTTCCAGATGTTGATAGTGAGGATAAGCTGAGTTTGTGAACCGGGCGGACTGCGTGTTGTGTTTACTGTTGTAGCAGAGCCAGTGAAAACACATCAGCTCGAAGTCATGACTTCAGTTTTTCAGTGTCACAGTTGAGAACACAGTCTTTACATCTAACGAGAATGATGTAATCAAAGCCTGTTAAATAACAAAGAGGGCAAAGTTTCATAAGATTTAGTGTGTTAATTTCTAAATCAGAATGAAGGTTAATGCAACTTCCAGCGTTACCACTTGGGGGCAACGTTGGCTAAAGAAAACCTCCAGGCAGCGGCTGATCACACCAAGGTATATTGTTTGTTGAAGCTTTTATGAAAGTGACAAGAGAGGACAGGCAATTTGACTGCAGGGATATTTGAAAATGTTCAAATATCCATGTCAAACTTTTGTGTTATCTTAGTCGAAAAATAAATAGCATCATTGTTTATACCGAAAGCCTCTCTGTGACTTTGGGAAGGATACACGGAATCCAAATGGTTGCATGCAGAATAACAAACATCCTCTAATCAGTCAGTTTTCTTGAATTGCCTCTCAAAACTGAACTCATGCTTGGGCACCTGTTTCAAAGAACAGGCTTGTTTATCAAAGTCCTCCTCTGTCAACAAACAGAATAAGTGCGATGATGGCTGGCTCCTCAACCCACATCTGATTTCAGCAAATGTGCAATTGTTCAAAGTGAGTTGTGCTTCATTGATTTGTTTCAAGGCAGAGGAAAAATAACCTCGGGGCTTCTACCAGTTAGAAATAACAATGGAGTCCTTCTCTGCTGTTTGTAGTTTTGTTGGCCTGACATCAGTTGTAAAACATGGAGGGATTTTTCACTGTGAATTTAACTACTAGTATGGACTGTGTAAAAGACTCATTGGAGAGGGGGCTTTATTTTTTTATTTTTTTGGTGTATTAGATCCGTAAATTTGACAGTCACCGTGCTCTAATGTTGATTCTGCAGAGATTTTGAATTGATTTATGTCTACTGTTCTCTTTAATGTCTCATATGGTTTCTACATTTGTTAACTTTAGTAATAGTTCAACATTTTGATTTATTTGCACGCTCACTTTTTCAGTTAGACCGGAAAATCGATACCACTCTCATGTCTGGGCACTGAGTAGGAAGCTGGAGTAAGGAGATGATTAGCCTAGCTTAGCATAAAGCCAAGGAACAAGGGGAAACAGTTAGTCTGTTTCTGTCCAAAGTTCAAATATACACCCACTGGCACCTGGAAAGCCGCAACTTCACAACAATTCACCATAATTACCCACCTGACTACAGGATGGTGTCAGGTAATTTCAGGTGTTCTGTTGAATGACAGTAACATTTAAACAGTCTTAAAATCATTTTACTGGTGGCAGGAAATCAAAAGAAATGGTTTGAGGTATAATATTTTGACAGGGCAAAATAAGTGTCTTTCTTTATATGAATATGCATATACTAACTTTTCTTTACTGTTGACACAAGAGTCATATGAAGGGCTATGCATTGTTATGAACAAAAATTAATACTTTTTTTGGTAAAATGTAAAAGTATAAGACCGGCGATACGCTGTGAACAAAACCCTATGAACGTCAGTAAATTTCAACACTCTAGCCTACATTTCTAATCACCTAATATCTAATAAAGTAACATAAAAGCTAACCAGCAGTAAAAGAAATGTCTTATGTTGCTGACTTTATATGACGCTAATAACATCATGCTACATTAGCATGCTGTTGCATTGGCAACTAGCTTGAATTCTTAGCTACTGTTGCTAAGCAGCCCTGTTGATTTGGCTTTTTTCCTTCTTTTTTTAAAATTTAAGAATCATATAACATATTATAATAATGTTATACTAAAGTCATCAGTTCTAAATTCAGTGGTGATGATTAAACAATCTATAATTAAAAAACAAAACAAACAAACAAAAAAAATGTGTTTAGTTAAAGTAAGAGCAACATCAAAATTTCTTAGGTACAATTCCCCCAAAACCCAGGAAAGAAGCCACTCTGTTTTTCTTTACTGTTAG